GAAGATTCGATCCGCAACCTGGAATGGAAATCTTGCAATGGTCTAAGACACTCGAAGAAGTTTCTGAGGGCTTATGATCAAGAAAAATCACAGATCTTCCTGGGTCTGAGTAAGAACAATCTTCGGATTGTCACGGGGTTTTTAACAGGACACTGTCTCCTCAATGAACACCTCAGTAGATTGAAACTAAGAAGAAACGGCGAATGCAGATTCTGTGGGGAAGATGGTGAAACACCAGTACACCTCATCACTGAGTGCGCCGAGACGACAACCATTCGTGTCATGAACTTTGGTACGACTGATATTGGAGATGGAGAACTACCCTCTATAAAACCGTCCCAGATACTGGCTTTTGTCAAAGCCCTGGGACTGTATGATGAGTTATGATTCAAGAAAGGGGGACACAATGGATCTGTAAGGTCGAAGTGTTTAACCCCCCTCCCACTCATTCTAAATTCTAAAAAATTCTACCCCAAGAGACCCCGAGGTAGATGATATATAAATTTGAATTTTAAATTGACCAGTAGTCTGATTTTTGTTCCATGGATAATTTTTTAAATTATTATACTAATATTTTTTGAGTAACTCTGGAGTGGTAAAAGTGTAACTATAGAGACTCACATGTTCCTCCCGTGCTCTATTCCTTTTATTTTTAGGAACAATAAGCCGCAGATCAATATGTGAGAGGTTTTTGAAAATGGGTTTTAATAATAGGTCAGAAGCGGATATTATTGATGAAATTATTTAATTTTTGTGTGATAATAATATTCCTAACATATTATCGAAAAAAAAAGCAAATTGAAAGTTTTGTTTATAAATGGTCAGAAAAGTGGAGGAAATGTAATTATACTTGGAGCAGTTTTATTTCCAACAGGTGTCTTTGGCTGAATAAAAATTTACTTCAAATGGAAGAGAATCAATCTTTTGATGACTCTGGCCCTTCAAGAAGAATTTTTTTTCAGAATTGTCCAAGTCCCAAAAAAATAAAGAGACCAAAGGTATATATTGACAAGGAATTAATTTATAATATCTTACAGAAAAAAACATGTTTTTTTATCTACATAATGCTGCAAATATTGCATTATTGCTTTTAATTAATGGAAAAGATTAAAAATCAATTTATTTCTAGAAATTAGAGATTCTTACACCTTGGAAGTTCTGGCATATGCTACAGTTTCTAATTTAAGGAAGGAACATAACAATGAGACGGCAAAAGCAGTCCAACTAGGGTTTGAATTTCCAGAGAAAGTAGTCGCCACTAAAAATAGGTGAAGATTTACCCGCAGATGACACTCATATGGCAACAGAATATTATTGTCATCAGATAGTAAAGAAGAACTAGAAGAAAGTGATGGTGAATCATGTCATGAAGAAAATGAGTTTGAAGACTCCATTTAACGCATATTGCAATTTATGTTTTTTTTCTTTAATTTAGACCAGATAACCTAATGGGTATTCTTTTTTTAAATAGGTTCCAAGCATTTTTCAAACCTTTTTAAAAACTATAATTTTTGAATAAAATTCATAGAAAATCCCCCTTTTTTAATATTTTTATACTAAACAAACATAGTCTGAAATATATTTTGTTTATTCCTTGGACTATATTTGTCATGTTAATAAATCCGCCATTAAACCTAATAAGTCTAGAATTTGTAATAAAATTAAAAATATCATATGCGCCACTTTTTGGCAATCTGAACCACTGTGCGACGATCAAAATCGTCTTCGTTGAGTTCTTGTACCAACTGAATTTTGTACGGGTGGAACTTCTGTTTTTTTAATATTCTTTGGACACTTGGACGATTCACGCCGGTCTCATTGGCTAATTTTCTTGCACTCAGCGTACTATTCATGGCAACTTGGCCCAATACGAATACCTCCATAGCTTCATTTACGTTTTGTTCATAACGGAACCAGTTGCGCGAAATTTTGCTACTAACTCGCGAACAATTTTGCCATAAAGGTGTTTGTCAGGATAGCGTTCATTGACTAAGTGCGCAACCCGATTCATTCATTATTTTTAAAATAAAGTTCGATTATTTCCACTTTTTCTGCAAGTGGGTACATCATGATTGTTAAAAAGTTTAACGATATTGAGAAGAACTTCAACGCACAAGTCACTGAACAGCTATCTAGCAACTACCGCACCTGATCGTTCAACCTTGTGGCAAGTGAAAAAATGCGTAAACATCTAGAAATAATAAGAAAAAACAGCAAATTGGTCGAACGAATTTATCATTATCATTTACTCTGATAAATGTTTAAATAAATTTTCAAATTTCAATCCTTCATATTTTCTCGATCGATTTTCAAAAACGAAGCGGGAAAATATAGAGAATAGAAAGCTCTTTTCATTGCGGTGCCACTTGACCCCCCTTCCCATTTGAAAAAAGTTGGGGGATGACACCCTCAAGAGCTTAGAGAGTTGAAGATTTTGCAATCATTTTTGGGGCAAAACTTGTCCCCCTCACAAACAAAATTGAGGTGTTTTTGAATTTTCTGAAAAGAAAAATTACTCTGGCCGTTATGCCTTGCGGAACGTTTTTGATGGGCCATCCTGTATTAAAGAGCCAGCTTTCTTGAAATACTTGTTTTCCCGACGTTGCTAGCTTTCGTACTATACAGCTTTGAGGCGTTATGTTAACTACAGACTACATTCTATAAATGAAACAAGTTTAGATGGGAAAGTGCCCATAAGGACACTATTTGGCGCTATTCTTGCAATGGTCGCGAACCAAAGCTTTTGATAATTTCGGATCGGTTGTGGTTTCTTTTCCGGATTTATGTCGCCAAATATTATTTATTCAAATTTATCATTATTTTCTTTTAATTTTATAAATAAAATACAGTGTGTTGTATACAAGAAACTTTATTTTATATAAGAACGATCCACGATGGTTTTTGCAGTTCACAGTTCTCAACACAGTTTTTTAGTTTTGAATGACAATTTTATTACAATTATCACGGGTTTCAGTAAATACAATTTAAATTAAACTCACAAGATAGCAATAATTACTTTGAAAATGGACGTTTCAAACACTTTTTGGTATTTTTTCAATAAGGATGGTTTAAATTTTGAAAGATTTTATAATTTTTGAAGATTCTGACTTTGACAAGAGAAAATTATTTCACAAAACATCCCCCTTTAGAACATTTTCTTTAATGGTCATAAGTGGGAGTAAAAGACCAACCGCCCGAACAAACACTAGAGGCGCCACCGGTCATCAAATGGTGTAAAAATTGCGAAAATATAATCATCTAATTTTGACACAAGGGGTCGCGCTTAATTTTTTTAATTTTATTTCAATATTCATTGTTTTCAAACTATATTATTAGACTTTGTTGTATTTTGTGAGTGTATAAATGTTTTCTTAGTATAAAGTTGTATTATATTAATTTAAATTATATTACATACATATTTAAAATTCAAATATTATGACATATGTGTCAGTTGCCGTCTAATGTCATCTTGATAACAAAAAGTTAGTTATTGTCAGAAATAGTTAAAATCATGTTAAAATATTAAAATTTACAAGTTATAATTAGATATTTTCATAATGGTACAGTGTAATGTTGATATGCAGGTCCAAAACAAAAAGTGCCGTTATATTTTTCAGTTTTCGTTGTCAGCCGCGGAAGTTTCAGTGATTTTAGTATTGTCGGATATTTTTATTTGTGAAATAGAAATATTGGGTTTAGATTGCAAAACTAAAAGTGGAAGTTTTATTGCAATGTAAGTAAGCGTTTGTCCATTTTATATTTTATTTTTTTCATACCTACGACAAATATACATATATTGAAATTTAACAATTCGTTTTATTTAAAATGTTAGAAAACAAGCCTGTAATTGACATAATTGTAATGTAATATATTCCATTTAAATGTAATATATTACTTTACAATTAAAAAAATTTAAATTTAAAAAATATATTAAAAATATATACAGGCATTAATTGAAATTTTTAGAGTGCGAACAAACACGAGAGGCGCTTTACTATTTACTTTCATTTCTTTACATGACAGATGAAGTTCTAAAGGGGGATTTTTTGTGAATTATTTCTGTTATTGCAGCGCCAAATCGCGTACAAAAGTCGCGACACAAAAAAATTATATATTTTGACGGGATTTTCGAGAACAGATGACAGTTAATTTTGCCATTTGATATATGTTGGCAGGTGTCTACTATTTTTCTATATGCAAAATAGTGCAAAATATAAAAGACAACGCATACCTATAATAAAAACACCACAAAGTTGAAGATCTTGACACTACCAAAAGAAAGCTAAAACCGAATAATAAACACGGTATAATCATTTAATACACAAAAATAATACACGGTATAATAATTTAGAGACAGCTGTAAGAATATCTCAAATCATGGGTACAAAAATGTGGTATTTTTGAAATAGGTATATTATAGCAATTTCTACAATGAAAAAATATAAATCTTTCCATTTTAAATTGTTCGCTAGTATTTTTTAAGAAAATCTCGACTAGAAAGTCTGATATCCAGCTATTTTAAGAAACTGAATCACCTAGAATCACCGGTACAAAGTGATACAGGTTTTTATTAAACAAATATTTTTTTTAAACCACACAAAAGTATTAGTTTTTGAGACGTGATTAACAATATAAAAAAGTCATTTTAACGCGTAGGCATAAAAGTAAAGCACCACCTGAGCATAAAAGTAACAAAATATATTATTAAATGACAAAGTGTCAAATTCAACGAGCGTAACCATAGTTTCTCGATATAAAGTATTACTTTTAAATATTTACAAAGTATTACTTTTAATTTTTTTGATATTTTGGAACGTTTAAATTGTTTAAAAAATTATTTGTGACGTTTGAAAAAAAATAGCATGTTCTATTTGGAGTAAAAATTAATTTTTGTACCTCGCCTGTAATGTTGGGCTCGCTAACACTCGTCTGTCAAACGTACAGCCTCGTCACAAAAAGTGTCATTTTTACTCATAATAAACAATATACTATTTACTTAGGCTGGCAAAGTCACAGAATACAATTTGGGCTACGAGCTACGCAACCGTTTCGACTCATTTCTGGAAACATCATGGAACATAAACTATGTGGATACTCGATCTACCGATGTGAACCGCACCAAAATGTCAGCGGAGTTGGTTCTGGCCAGTCTATATCCGGCCAGACTCAGTCAGATTTGGTCATCGCTTTTTTGGCTACCGATTCCTTATAACTATTACCCTTATACAGAAGATAAGGTATATATTATTTCTAAGTGTTTTATTGAGATTGGTTAGAATATTTTCCATAAATTTATATAGGTTGGGTTTTAAATAAGTGCAAATATTTTCAGGGGTGGTAGATCTCGATAACAGATTCATATTTTCTCTTTACCGGTTTTAAAATAAGTCCTTTTAGTAAAAAAATATAAAAATTTATTCCAGAAAATTCCAAATATTCAAATTTTTTTTTTGAAAAAAAAAATCAAAATTAAAAATTTTTTTTTTCGCGTAAAAACCTGATAGATGTGTTCCTGGGGTGGAAATAACCCCTAAAATATTTGCGCCTATTTAAGACTTACCCTGTATATTTATGGTTAAGGAATTTGTGATCACAAAGATGAACAGTAAATGGACTTTACTGTTCATCTTTGTGAAATTTAGACAAGGCAATATTGCAAAATATACCTTAAAAAAAACTCTGTCTGTGACTCAGACAAAATAACACGAAGTACAGAGAAGACACTAGAAAATACACTGTTTAAATTTCAAGTATTACAGGGTGGTATTCAGGAAACTTCGGCAGCATATTCTGTAGATAATAATAAGTAAGTTCGTATAAATGTATGTACTAAAATGCTTCGTTTCGGAGATACAGGGTGTGGAAATTTCATTTTTATTTCAATTTTTTTAAATGAATTTCTGAACTAATGTCGATATTTAGGTGAAAAGTGTCTGGATGCTTTTTGACACGAGAAATTTGATTTCGATGTCAATATGACTCCTTCTTGTAGGGGCGCTACGTACATATTTTTTAACTGGTTTGATTAACCTAACCTAACCTAACCTAACTTTTCGTCCGTATAAAACTACTGAGGGAAAAAATATACATTTCTGCCATTTTTTAAATAAAAAGACCTCTTGATAAAAATCGCTACGAGTAACCGTTCTCAAGATATTTGAAATGTAAATTATCAATACATAGCATCATTGACAAAAAATGAACATTTTGACTAGTTATTTGAGCGAATATGATAAATTGGGGAAGTTTTTATTTTTTTTGATTAATCAAAATTTGTTTTAATTAATCAAAATTTTCTGGAAGAAATTATGATGAATAGTTTTTGTTGACCCTTTGGCACAAAAAATTTTTAAATTTATGACTTTAATCTAACAACACTGTTGTCAGTGATGACATGTATTGATTCAATTTCAAATTGATGATTATTTCAATTTCATATATCTCGAGAACCATTACTCAAAATGATTTTTACCAAGAGACTTTTTTACATAAAAATCCGCAGAAATGTATATTTTTTCACTCAGTAGCTTTATACTGGTACGGACGAAAAATTGCCTATGTCAAAAAACATCCAGACTCTAATTTTTATCCAAATAATAACGATGCTAGTTCAGAAATCAAAAATAAAACTTCTATACCATGTGTCTCCGAAACCAAGCATTTTGGAACATACATTTATGCGAACTTTTTTACTTATTTTTATTTGCAGAATATGCTGCAAAGTTTCCCGAATACAATTAGGTTGCCCCTGTATATCAACATCATTGATAAACCAGTGCCTTCTATTAAAAGATCAGCCTACGGGCGAGATTTATGACGTCACGCTAGTTAGATATAACGGATTAATAAATATGTTGTAGAATACATGGAAAACATAATTATTCCTCAGATTTTTGGTTTGTATTTTAAAAATGATATAGTTTACATGAAATATACATAATATACAGTTAATAACTACAACATATATACCTATTTATAGGAATAAATACTTTGGCAAATAAACTATGAACCATACAAATGCAGCAAATGTTTTACAATGTACAAATAATGTATAGGTACATAAGATAATGGGTAAAATGTAAATATATTTTAAATGTTGGGGTTTGAAAATCGATCTAATTTAACAAAAAACATTCAATATCTACTAATAGTGATGCATTATTATTTGCATTCACAAAATTTATATGTATATTTTGCAAGTATCAATGTTCGAAAAATTATATTTACAAATAATACAATATTATCTAAAAAAAGGCGTCAGCTATGAAATGAAGATCGCTGGCATTTTATATGTAAAATTATTCCAAAATTTTTGATTTTCTTGGGATTTTTAGGTTCGGGAAAAACGCTGATTTAAGTTTTCATTTACGTTTTCATTATTTTTATTTGGTTTAAAAAAACGTTTCGGCTAACTATAGCCTTCATCAGTGTTGTGTCATATGAGAAAAATAGTGTCGAATATAATCCAAAAAATTATATATACAATATAATTCACACCTCATAATGTTTACTGCAATTAATAAACTAATATAAACTTATCAAAAGATGACCACATATTTCTTAAAATTATTATTCTTAACACTAAAATTATCTACATTGACTATGGAGTACGCAGTAAACATTATGTGCGTGGTGTGAATATTTTATATGTAATTTTTTGGATTATATTCGACACTATTTTTCTCATATGACACAACACTGATGAAGGCTATAATGTTAGCCGAAACGTTTTTTTTTAAACCAAATAAAAATAATAAAAAATCAAATGAAAACTTAATCAGCGTTTTTCCCGAATCTAAATCCCAAGAAAATCAAAAAATTTAGAATATTTAGAAACAATTTTCTGAATTTCTGAAAAAATTTTCCAAGATTGTAAAATTCTAGTTAATTATTTTATGTGTACAGTTATTTAGGGAATGTCATCGATGTTCATTTCCAAGCCAACTAGACGCCGATTTTTTTCGATGATACGGTATAATTCTTACGTAAAATGTAAATAACATTAGACCAATTAAAACAAAGAAATATGAATTTCTTAGTATTTTTAGTAACACCTTTATTCTTAAAACTTAATTTTGCATTATGCAAATATACCAATTTTATTGTTATTTTATTCATATTGTATTCAGCCATCACTTAACTATATGATATTAATTTGGTATTATCAATAATCAATACTATTTATTAAAAATTACTGAACAAATATATAAATATAAATATGCTTGACATACATTATATATTATCAAACAAAAACACATTCTTCTTTTAAACTGTATCAGTCTTGTCTTTACAAAATCTTTTTTAAAATTTGAACACAAAATAATAATCTTTTCATGATCTTTAATACACATATTCTTTATTTTTCCCTAGATCATAATACCTACTTACGTGTTTGAATCTATTGAAGCTGAACCAACAACACTTGGAGTGGAGACCCCACAATATGAATAAAATAAACATAATTGTCCAGTTTTCATTAATACCATCATGGGAGAATATTATTTTTAAATTTATTAAAGATATTTTCAATAGAATTCTCTTGATTTATAACTCGTACCCACTTTTCTTGCTCTTCCGGACACTTTAGGCTGCCTAGTATAACTATCCTTTCCACCAGGAACACAACAAAGATGAGGCATAGTACCAAAAACACACTCCACTTACGCTTTATTGATGAATTGTTAGAATCTTAAAAAACACACACAAAAATCACGATAAGTAAAAAATTTATGGGCACTTTTAGGTTAAATCACTTACACAACGTGTAATTTTTCAATTTTTCTATTTTTTTATGCGAAACCGAGAGTGACCATATATCTGGTAGTAGTTTATGTCACTAAAACACCAAAATAATTAGTTTTTTGCACTACAATAATAAATAATACCAAAAATCAACCGACAAAATATGAAACGGAATCTAACCCAATATCTAAGTATGTACAGCTGATGAGGTAAACAAAAGTCCGCCCCCCAGGCTGATCTTTTAATAGAAGGCACTGGATAAACACTATACGAGTAAACCTAATTATATTATTGTTAAATTGAAAAAAATCCATAAAATATAAAAGTAAAATTAGTGAATAAAAACTGCTGGGTTATTCGATACTAGAAGAAAATCTACAAAATAAAAAAGTTACTTTTCGTAAACACCACTGTGTTGATCCAACGGAGTCCAATCTGTCAGTTTTATTTCACTAAAAAAACAAATTTGTCTAACCGATCAAAAGTACTTAATGTTTCAGGGCGTATATCTCCTCCCGTCTTCACAAGCAAAAATACACAAAGAACAAAGAAAAAATATTTAATATTTAAATACAATTATTATTTAATAACAGTTTAGTATTTTAGCAAATACGTCCATTATAAACCGTTGACGTTCTGTTAAAAAAGTTTTTTTATTTGTTATATCATCTTGTTTTAAAAATTTTACCACATCAAGATAGATGGTGTATTGATAGCAAACATTTTTAGGAAATTTATCCTTGGGGAGCTTGTTCGACCTACTGGAACAGCTTAGTAAACAGCGCAATGTCGAGCTCGAATATAAGTACATATTTTTCTACCCGATATAAAAAAATGATAACTATAATGGAAGCTTATACCGACATAACTATTACAGCGTATTCCGCATACACTCTTTATTTTGGATTTGCCACACAGGTAATTATATATTTTTTTCTTATTTCCCTTGCATATAAGTATAATGTGTCAATCATACCATTGCGAATTATGACATTTTAATTCTGAGCATAATAAGTTATTACTAAAACATCTTACAGCTTCATCACTTTAATGCTTTTCGGATTTGCTTAAACATATTTAGGAAAACAAAATTAAACAAAAACGTAAAGTTAATATTTTATTTATGATAAAAATGGAAGTAAAAGTTTATAATAGTAGCAAGTATAAGAAATAAATAGTAATAACTTTTAATATTAATTTATCGCTAGAAATATTTAGATATAACAGAATAAGATACCTATATTTATTTCTAGGATGAACTTGGTTTGACATTGGAAGATTGGACTTCTCTGGTATATCCTGAACCATTACATTCAGCAGCTGTCGATTTTTATTATATTAATACAAATACCACAGCTTTGAGACGCATATCAGCAGGTATAATTATTATATAGAATGGAAAAACATTTCTTGCAGTTTTTAGGTATACAGGGTTGTTCACCACATACGACACGGAGTATTGTAGCTAAACGATTACATTTTTACAAATTGTAAGTTTTGGGTTCGTTGAAGGTCTATTAGAGCTACAATTTAAAAATATTTTTACAAGATACAGAGTGTCCCAAATAAGTAAAAAATATTATAGTTGTATTTTTTTAAATGGAATACCCTGTATATTATTCTATTTTTGGATTCTACGATTGAAATAAAAGTAAATTTGATTAAGGTTTATCACACTTAAACCTTACGGTTTTTGAAATATTTTCAATTTTATAAAATTGCAGTAAAAAATTTAAGGCTTTATTTCTCCAAGGGTATCAAAGTTTTTAATACTAAATATTTACTGAAGATTATTTATTGATAAGATATTGTGTTGCAATAATAAAAATTTTACTACCTTATACAGAGTGTCCAAAAATTTATGTTAAGTAATTACTAGCTTTAAACGGCAATAATTTGTTTAATTTAAACGGAACACCCTATATATATTTTACGTGAATCAGATGCACAATGTAATGTAATCAAATGCACAATAAATGTGTCTATCAAATTGTATTGTTCCATTTTTTACCCATCTCTTCAAGTTTTCATAGAAAATGCATTTTCTTATAATTTAGACCTCATTTATCACTATACCCATGGAACATTGACATTTTAGCTTATTTTTAAAAATGTAACAAATTTTCAAAGGGTACAGATACTAATATTGTCGATATAGTTCGCTTATTTAATTAAAAAATAAAAAAACTGTTTAAATATTTTTTGTTAAAGAGAACTAATTAATATGATGCCAGTATTCAAACTACATTAATTGACTTGTAGTAATAATTGCTCTAAATACTAAAAAACTGATTTTTGTGTGTGTATTAGACAGTGTGGTAAAAAGTAACACCTTATACATTTTATTTCATTTATTGACGAATGCTTATTTATAAAAACAGAGACATTCATTTTTATATCTTATTATTATATTGATTTCTGAGCCAAATCCACATTTATTTAGAATATTTTATCAATTAAAACAATTTAAAAGTATGTAATTAACTAATTTTTGGTATTTTTGGTAGGAAATAATGGTGGTATATTTAATTGGTACACACTTTTACAAAGATTTAAATATTTTTTTGTATGCCAATGGGCTTGCAATATTTACCACTGGCAACCTTTATGGACTAAAAATGTCTAAATTCGTTATTTGTCGTTTTATTTTGTCATTCGAAATTTGTCACAAAAAATCACATAAAATTATACATATATTTATAATTAAATTATTAAATACCAAATATCAGTGGTTATTTGTTTAAAGTAAGTACCTAGGTACCTATTTAAAAGAGGCTTTTTAAATTAAAACATTTTAAATTACAGTCACAAACAAGACATAATCATGTGGTACATTTTGGCCTAAGACAAGCATATTTTCTATACAACCCTAACTGATTGACAACGTTCCTTCGTTCACCACCGGAAACACTCTTTTGATATTAGTTTTTGTATCCGCAGGGTAACTAAAAGGCAGCTGTTGTCTTTTTCTATGATGTCTTGCACTCGTAGAGAGTAAGCAGGCATACAATTCTTCTCTACATGCTCCACAAAGGCCAATGACAAGAGCTACCTAAAAAATCAAATACAATGGAATAAGAAACCATCTATATATTTTAAAATCATTATCGCAAACTTGGCCTTAGTAAGTAAATAAGTTTTATCACTAGCCGTGGCCAAAAAATCACTGATTCTTTTTTATGGACAAAACCTTAGACTTTTTAGGCCTGTAACCAACCGAATTCTCTTCAAAAGCAATAAGTTTTGGAAATTTGTCAATATAAATATCTTCTTTTAACACTTAACACTGCTCTCAGCATGGAATATTTCGACCAAATTGACGATGGTTTGAATGTTTGTGACTGTAATTTAAGAATATTTTAATTTAAAAGCCTTCTTTAAATAGGTACCTAGGTACTTACTTTTCGTGGAAATAATTTAGCAATACATCTTCATTTACAACGAATACGCCATTTTTGTCTTTCCATTCATTAAAAACATCATATTCTTTCTGGTAAATGGCACGAGACTTCACAGGAAGTAAATCCAACACGATTTCTTTGGCCTTATTAGCAATATGTTCGATTTTGGTTTTAAAATTGTTGATGAATTTGTGTCAAAGGGTACAGATACTAATATTGTTGATATAGTTCGCTTATTTAATTAAAAAATAAAAAAAAACTGTTTAAATATTTTTTGTTAAAGAGGACCAATTAATATGATCCCAGTATTCAAACTACATTAATTGACTGTTTACGTTGTAGTAATAATTGCTCCAAATACTAAAAAACTGAATTTTGTGTGTGTATTAGACAGTGTGGTAAAAAGTAACACCTTATAAATTTTATTTCATTTATTGACGAATGCTTATTTATAAAACCAAAGACATTCAATTTTATATCTTATTATTATATTGATTTCTGAGCCAAATCCACATTTATTTAGAATATTTTATCAATTAAAACAATTTAAAAGAATGTAATTAACTAATTTTTGGTATTTTTGGTAGGAAATAATGGTGGTATATTTAATTGGTACACACTTTTACAAAGATTTAAATATTTTTTTTGTATGCCAATGGGCTTGCAATATTTACCACCTGTACAATTTGTACATATTATGGTGCTATAAAAAAATCTGAAATGTCAATATTCCATGGGTATAGTGATAAATGAGGTCTAAATTATAAGAAAATGCATTTTCTACGAAAACTTGAAGAGATGGATAAAAAATGGTATAATACAATTTGATAGACAATTATATTGTGCATCTGATTCACGTAAAATATATAGGGTGTTCCATTTAAATTAAACAAGTTATTGCCGTTTAAAGCTAGTAATTATTTAATATAAATTTTTGGACACTCTGTATAAGGTAGTAAAATTTTTATTATTGCAACACAATATCTGATCAATAAATAATCTTCAGTAAAAATTTAGTACTAAAAACTTTGATACCCTGGGAGAAATAAAGCCTTAAAATTTTTACTACAATTTCATAAAATTGAAAATATTTCAAAAACGGTAAGGTTTAAGTGTGATAAACCTTAATCAAATTTACCTTTATTTCAATCGTAGAATCCAAAAATAGAATAATATACAGGGTGTTCTATTTAAAAAAATACAACTTTGATATTTTTTACTTATTTGGGACACTCTGTATCTTGTAAAAATATTTTTAAATTGTAGCTCTAATAGACCTTCAACGAACTCAAAACTTACAATTTGTAAAAATCTAATCGTTTAGCTACAATACTCCGTGTCGTATGTGGTGAACAACCTTGTATAATAAAACTATATAAGATATATAACAACCTGCTCTCACTACCGGTTTTATTTTGTATATTGGACTAGCCAAAAAAGCCTTTATTTACTATCGATAGTTGTGCCTTGGTGGTACGAGAGTACTACCATTGTACCCAGGCCGCTGTCTCGCCATGCGGGACTTAATATTTTACCGCTACTTTACGACAAGTCGGATTTAGATACTCTGCGCTGTGTTTGTCATTTCGTCGATCAGCCTAAGCTCACCTGATAATGGAGTAGGGTCCAAAACCGGTAGTGAGACCAGGTTGTTCCCCAATATGACCAACACAGTGTGGAATTAATTTTTATATAGCAGTTCAACGGAAAACACTCTGATATAATTTTATTATAAACCTAAAAACTTTAAGAAAGATTTTTCCATTTTATATATCGGGCTAGCCGAAAAAAGCTTTAATTTAATTTTGTTAAAAACTACAGATTCGAAATTATTTTTTGACTGTAAAGTTACAACAGGAAGCCTAAACACATGTCATACTGTTTCATAACAGAGTGGTCTATGAGACACATCTATTTAAAAAAATATATAAAGAAGCTTACATGTTTTCGTATCATATTTACTGGTGCTAGATGATAACCTTCTAATGTTTACATGTTATTAACATTTCTTAAGCTGTGTTTTAAATACAAGAATTAAATTATATCTTACTAAAACCAGCTAAATATATTATCTATACTAATATATAAAATCCTTAAGTGACTGACATACCGATTAATCACGATCCTGCTCAAACCACTCAACGTAAGAAGCTCAATTTTGGCATACAGGTTGATTCTAGGGTGTAAAGGTTTGATAATAAGGGATTCTTCGAAATTCCAGTTCCGAGAGGGTGAAACCTCCCCTCATATATTACAATATTTTTTATTTAAAAAACGGTCAAGTTTCGGAAAAAACGCTTAAACACATATATTTTATTTTGTTTTTTTACATATTTTAAGCTTTTTTAAAAATGTATACAGGGTGTTTCGAAAAATCTGGTCATTAATTAATCACGATCTTGCTTAAAGCGCTTGACGTAAAAAGCTGATTTTTGGAAAACAGATTGACTTTAGAGTGTAGAGGTTCGATAAGAAGGAATTTTTCGAAACTCGAATTCTAAGGGAGTGGAACTATCCCTCAAATATTTAAATATTTTTTATTTAAAAACCGATGAGTTTTTCGGAAAAACTCTTAAACACGTATATTTTATTTTGTTATTTTACATATTTTAAGATTTTTTATAAATTTATACAGGGTGTTTCATAAAATATGACAATTGAGTAATCACGATTCTGCTTAAACTGCTTGACGTTTAAAGCTGACTTTTGAAAACGGATTGACTGTGTGGTGTAGAGGTTCGATAAGGAGGGGTTTCTCGAATCTCAAATTCGAAGAGGGTGAAAATGGCCCTAAAATATTACAATATTTGTTATTTAAAAAACGGTTAGTCTTTCGGGAAAACGCTTGGACGAGCATAATTTATTTGGTTTTTTGCATATTTTGACATTTTTTAAAACATCACACAGGGTGTTTCAAAGATTTCTTAACCACGATTGTGCTTAAACTGCTTGACGTAAAAAGCTTATTTTCGGCAAACGGATTTTTCGAAAGTCAAATTCCAATGAGATGAAACTACCCCTCAAATATTACCAAGTTATATAATAATATCGCCATACTGTTTTTTCTTATGTTGAAATAAATGTGAGAAAATTTTATCCAGTTTGTATGTTAATGAAAATTCTTGTTTTGCTTTATCATCACCATTACAAATGATTAATTCGACGCGAACGAAGTCGCTGGTACACGCTAGTTGAGGATATAGTAAAAGTATTTAATCTGAAAAGTGATATTTTATAGTAGACGTGTATCAACATTTTCTTTTTTATATACATCTCTTTATACATTTTTACCTATCGTTTAGGATATTTATTAAAGAAGATCTTGTCCGACACCGCTGACAAAATTAATGGAACTATAAGCCCTTCAACCAGGAAAGTATTTTTATATTCAGCTCATGAATTGAACGTAGCCTCCATGCTTCTCTCTTTAGAAGTTTACAATGTTACTACAATTGCACCTTATGGATCATACGTATTATTTGAACTACATGAAATTGATGAAGTATATGGCATCAAGGTATGGTATATTTAGAAAATAATTCACAAACAGGGTGTTTCAAAAAACATCTGTCATCTGTCGTGGGGAGATTCCTAACGTAAAAAAAATATTTATTGTTCATATCTACTAGTAGGAGTCATATTGACATCACAATCATATCAACATAGGTCCGATTCTGCTTTGTTTCGTAGCTACAGGAGGTTAAAATCTTAATTTTTTTCAAATTATTATAATTTTCTTCCAAGTGCTATGTTTTGCTGCACAGTCTTGATGCTAAAAAAGTGTCGACTGTTTCATCAGGGACGTTCATATGGGTTATCACTGGAATAATTTCTAAAAAAAAATCATGTGCGTCCCTAACTTTTTTCCTCTTAGTAGTACATTTGTAGGCTATTTAGCCAAACCAAACGTCCCTGGTGAATATGTCGACACTTTTTAGCATTACAATATGTAGCACTCATAGTAACTTTTACCCTCTAAATTTTATTCTAATCGGCTAAAAGCACTTGGAAGAAAATTATGATAAATTGAAAATAATTAAGAATTTAACATCTTGTAGCTACGAATTACAAAATCGGCCCTATTTATATATGAAAAATAAATCTTATTTTTATGAGAGGAATCTCCCCACGAGATGTGGCACATGTTTTTTGAAACACCCTATATAAGTTCTTATGAAATTACGTATTACATATTAAATTACGGCTTTAGGCTTAAAAAATTAAATTTAATTTTCTTTTATATTAACTAATTTAAAAATATTAATAACTGAATTTAAGGGAATTGCCATTAAAAAGCTCCTGACTGTTGTTTTGCAACCAAGTACTAATCACTTTCAATATAAAAAAATATCCTAATGTTACTGTTGAATATGATTCTAAATTTAAATAGTTTAGCCTAATAATAAAATGTTCTGAAATATTATTTAAATTTCAGCTGTTTTATCAGTTTTACGAGGAAGATGATCCAGTACCTGTAAAACTGACTGGCTGCGACTATTTTTGCCCATATGACACTTTTTACAGTTTGGTGGAAGACCTTTTGCCAGAATCAGATTCAGATTGTACCGGTAGTTAAGTTGTAAATAATGCGTAAAAATAAACTTTGATTTGATAATATCTTTTATTTTTATTCTCCGATTTAACAGTAGTATACTAAATAACGTTGCGTTTATTCAACATCTATAGAGAGTGCTTTAATGTTCACTATAATTTGACATGTTGGCTTATTAGCACTAAGTATTTTTTTTTGAGGGAAAAACCCATCATGTGCACTTGGTAAGATAACCGAAGTAGTGGCAGACTCTTACTGACTAAAACAACCCTCAGAAACTTTATGTGTCCCCTTCTGGAACCGCGTTAGCAGTACTTCAGAAAGAGTACTTCTCTACTAAGTAGTTAGTTATTAGATGCTGAACACATATACCTGGGCATACGAGACTTTGGGCCATAAGCTAAACATCGAGAAAACTAAAATCATGTGCACTCCCTCGGAAAATTATAACAATGCTATACAAATCGGAGAAGAACTATTGGAATATGTAGCGGAATTAAATTACATCGGCGCGGCATGCGGCAGTTTGATTTCGGAAAAGGCTAATATCGACGCTGAAATTTAATACAGAATTATTATATTTCTGCGCCTTTGAAGTGCCCATTAATAACCGTTTGCAGGAAGCTGGAATGTTATTTAGTATCATAGAGCTATCCTGTGGAGATCAATTATGTCTTAATATTAGCTAGTGATAACGTTCTTATTAAACTGATACAAAAAAGTACTACTGGGGTTTATGCAATTAATCGATCTTATTTTGAATTTGGTAAATATCATACCGGGTGTTGCATCGTCGTTGGGAACATAGGAAATCCCATGCAAAATTTGAACCGTCCAGATATTGGCTCCCCTATTGATTTTATAGCGAAGTCGTAAATAGACTTTTTAAAGGTCTACATTTGGTAAACACACATGCCAAATTTGAATAATTTTGGACAAACCGATCTTAGGTAATTTGAGAAAAACTTAATCGAATTTTAAATTAAAACTGAATAGGTAACAATCAACCACCAGTCAAAAACCGACATTCCTTAACTTGTCAGCGTCATTTTCAAACATAACTTAATTTTAATAAAATTTTAATATTCAGTACTAGTAATAATTTATTGTTATACACATAAAGAAAAAGTGAACATAATAAAATACACGGGAAATAGCTTAGACAGCGTGTCTGACATGTTTCGGTTAATTTTCACTAAATATTAAAATTTTATTAAAATTAAATTACTTTTGACAATGACAAAATCATAGTTTGTAAACCTAAGGTATGTCAGTTTTTGACTGGTGTTTGATTGTTACCTGTTTGGTTTTAATATAAAAATCGATTAAGTTAAACTCAAATTCCCTAAAATCGGCTTGTCTAAAATTGTTCAAATTTTGCATGTGTGTTTACCAAATGTAGACGTTTAAAAAGTCTATTTACTACTTCGCTATAAAATCCATAGAGGAGTCAATATCTGGACAGTTCAAATTTTGCATGGGGTTTCCTATGTTCCCAACGACGATGCAACACCCGGTATAAGTTATACCCACAACACACAGGTCACCCTCAAAAAGTTTACGAATATTTCTGCATGGAGAGAGAAACTTTGAAGTATATTTCCAACAAAGTTGAATAATTCCTTCATTTAAAAAAACGCTACAATTTTCAAAATATAGTACATATAGATGTACACAAAACGGTTATATGTTATGTGTTATATGACATAGATATAATGTCTATTATTTAAACTGAACTGGCATTCCCAAGAATTTCTGCATAGTTTATAAATATTACAGTTCTAGAAATTAAGCTAAATTAATAGTATTGATAAAGTTATATTCACTCCAGTTTTTAACCACTTTTCGGATATAGTGATTTTAACAGAAGTTTTAGTAAAAAAGAAATAGAATGGCAACACCGCATACTGCTTCCAACAAAAATAGTATACTATATATAGAATGCAGAATGCAGAATCTTATGCAGAAGCAAATTATGTACATAAAAATGGGGGGTGCAATTTAAAAAGAACTTAAAACTTCATCATATTTTTTTTAAAAACACCTTGTATACAACAAAATATTTTTAGGTTATGCACCTTTATAAAACTTCTATATAAAACTTTTTTCATATCTTTGTCAACAACGTCGATATTGGACTTCCTCGCTAAATGGACCACTTTGTATGTATTTTTAAATATTCAATTTAGACTTCTCCAGCAAAATGTGGCCAATTTTTTACTAGTGCAATCAATTGGTCACCGGAACCCTTGTCGATCAGTAGTTTGTAGTCTCTTTTCAAACGTTTTTCTTTCGACGCTTTATTGACCAGTTTGTTAAACGTCATACTTTGAATCTTGGTGGGTTTGGCATTGGCGAAAGTTCCGATGAACGCTATTCCTAAACTTTTACTGTTGTATCTGGAATTAAAGGAATTATTTTGGTTAAAACGACACCTTATTTTGAGTATAATAGGTATGTTTAGATAACGTATTAACGTTTAGTAACGTAGTTGTTGTTTTCAATAATTATCTAGATATAAAATTGTAAAAAATAGTTTTACTTGCAGGGGGACAATTATATTAGCACTAGTGAGATGGTGAAACATAAAATTCTTACTTTATTTTGCGCACCAAATGATATATAGTCATAAAAAACAATAATTTTTTATAATGACGATTTGGCAACCTTGCGAGGCGGAAGCCATCATCGCTTGGTTCGAAGTTCGTAGGTCGCCCGTCGCGTCGTCGCGTCGTTTGGTCTTTCCTTCCGTGACCGTGACCTATTTAATTTACTTCACTTGTTGAAAAATCGTAATCCGATCGAGAAGTGTAGGTGTAGGTAGTGCTCATATTTATTAGTTTATAGTGTTAAGCCCCATACTCACACTTCGCTCCTTCCTCTCCTTACTTCCTCGCGTTACTTCCTCGCGTTCCTTCGTCCCTTCGTTTCCTTCCTTCGCCTATTCGATGCTTGGAAATTAATCAATTATGCAACAACACACCACAAAATATTTTTAATATAGCAGCTACATGTTTAATACAAAATATCTAGTAACCTCTAAAAATTTTAAAAAATCCGAAAGGCGCATAATTTTTATTTTATAAAACTGCAATTCTTTGTCGTGTCAAAAATAAAAATTGAATTTTAATAATATATATTTTTTTTAATAAATCCGAATATTTCAGTATCATGTACAAGGTATATCAGTATGAATGTACAAGGCGAGTCAACAATAGAGTAAAGTTTATTATGTAATTTATATCGAAACCATGAAATATGACATACTAATTAAACGTTAATGATGTCAATCCCTATTTCTTCAGATATTTTTGTAAAGGCATCATGCACACTATTTCCATTTTTTTATTTTTGTCGCTACGATTACATAAATATGGACATGCATTTTTTCACAAATATGAAGACAATATTGTTTTTTTCTTCCATTTTTTAGACTATTGTGTGTGAATTATTTTTATATCGACTGGCGATTGCTAGATGTACAGGATGTCCCATTTTGTGTGTTTTATGGAGTTTCTGGTTTATGAGTAGAGATATAAAGATGCTGTTTTCACATCATTGTTCTACTTATTATGAAACTAAATATGCTACACTCATATTTATCCTTCTTAGTTCAAAGTTATTTCTTATTTCTTTCTTTTACTTTTTATTTTTTAATTAGTAGACATTTTTGCATTTTTCGATAACCTTTGTATCTCGATTATCTTATAACTTATCGAAAACGTGAAAAGGGTCAGTGATGGGCGGTGGGTAAGTACCCAATTTGTAGATAAATAAAATCTCGGTATATATGTATATACCTGTAGATTTAGATGAACATCCTAATTTTAATAAAAGGAGTTTCCGACGACCGCATGGTAAATACCCGGTATAATAGCGGGAATAGAAATATACCAATATATAATATCTACAATATATATAAGAAATATTGTAGATATACAGTTTGACAAATATAGGAAGAGACTTGGGGATAGCATCGGTCGAGCACACGATAGAGAGAGAACGCATTCGGCGGAAGAGAGATGCAATTACGCTACGAAAAATCTGATTAAATCAAATTTGTGTGCTCTCCACTGCGCATCGAGTGGCGTCTCTTATTTTATATTTCTCACGTCTCTAGCTATACTTGTTAAGTTGTACTCGTATTCCTGATATTACTGGTATTATATTGGGTATTTACTATGCGGTCGTTGGAAATACCTTTTATAAAATTCGACTGTTCATCTAAATGTACAGGTATATACCCACCGTCCGTGTCTCGTTTTTTAGGTAGAATGGCAGTGACGAAAGAAAAATGACTCAAATTTATGCTCTTTTTTTAAACAGGACGCTCTATATATTATTTTTTATTTTATTTGCCTTATTATGAGCTTTCGAAAATTATAATATACTCTATATTTATTTCTTTAGGTACTGCTAAACTGCTAAACGGCTCTTATAAAATAAGAGCCGTTTATTTAACTTAATTTTACCAGATAATTTTGCTTTGCATCGTGATATTTTGATAAACTACACGGAAACTGAACTTGTGCTGCTTTTAAATAACATGCCAATAACCAACATTTTACGTCGAATAAATTAGTTGATTGTTTTGATTACGTAATTTAAACCGGCCGACTATGTAATAAAGTTAAATAATGCATTTTCACCCCGTTTATGAAAATAAGTATTTTAGAAAGCCCGTAACAAGGAAAATAAAATAATATACAAAATATCATATTTAAAAAACATATAAGTTTTAGTCAATTTAAAAAGACAGATTCCAACGAAGAAATAGTTACGTCACTGCATTCTACGTGAAAAACTGTACGAGAGACCGTTTTCACCTTTTCGATAAGTTATGATACAAAAGGGATCGAAAAATGCAATAATTTCAGATTCGCCCTGTATTTTAGGAAGTAAGAGAGCTAGGACATATCTGTATGTAGCATCTTTAGTTTCATAAAAAAGTAACAGCGTAATGTGAAAATCGCATCTTTGTATCTCGACTCATAAACGAGAAACCCTGCAAAACACACGAAAACGGGACACCCTGTACAGACGTACTGCCAAATCAAGAAATCAGCTACGAATGAAATCCAAGATCGATTTATATATTTTAATATTTTTTTGTGTTCGTGATAATTCCTTTGCTACTTCCTCCAAAAACCGACAGTACGTGGAAGGAGCGTTTCGAGGAAGTAAACAGACGAAGTAGCGTTTTGACGAAGGAGGAAGGAACACACAGTCGCATAAAATCGACATTTTCCCATAGTAAATATATTATTTTTGGACGAAGGGACGCGAGGAAGGAACGAAGTGAAGTAGCGAAGTGTGAGTATGGGGCTTTAGTTATAAGAGTTTACATGTTTGTTACATGTTATGTCTGATCAATACTTTGTAAGTATGCGACATGCAATGTAAAAGAATAGTTTTAGTTGCAATCAATATTAGTTTGGTTGAAGTTTTATTGAGAGAGTTGTTAACATCACCTCTTATTTCTTTAAAAGAAAATCCTGTACACTTTGTTAAGTTATTTTTGCAATTTAATACAAGAGTTTTTGAATAATGTCTTTTTTTTGCTCTCCTACCATTTACAACAGAGGTCAGATCAAGTTTGGGCCATCGCGTCCCACGCTGAACCCGTTCTTTATAGCATTGCAAAGGTAATGTCTCTAATGGCCCATAATTTTTGGTTTTATCTGTTTTGCTGCTACTTTTTTTATTAGGCTTTTGTGCTTACACTTAACTTGATATTTTTCTTTCTTAAAAATATGACAAACATACATACTTACCTACCTACATTTTAAATAGCACTCTATAAAGAAATTTAAGCAAATTGCCGCACAAAACAACTTGCAATTTGTATAGACAAGTCACACATTTTGGTGCTTAACTCGCTTTCAAAATGGAATATCCATAGACTTAAAATAAAATATAGACTACACTATTTACATCTCAACGCAGTCAAACAATCTTTTTTGTACACATGTTTACTTCTGGATACAGTCGACCGAGCCTTCTTCATCCAGCCTATGTTGTCACGTCTTTAATATTATCAATATTTTTTTCTTGTTATACACATATATTGAGATATTAATACTACAGTTTAATAAAGTAGGTTTTAATATTCCATAGATGTATTAAATAGTCCTTATACTACTAAATTATAAGTCGGATACTGTTTAAAAAGGATAAGTTCTTTACAATATGACAAAACCGATTAGAGGCGAGGGAGCCTATTCATTCATTTATTACCTTGTAGTACGCGTCGCACGTGTGCGGTAAAGCTTTGTTGCCGCTATGTCCCCGGCTGTATTAACGCATTTTCTTAGCTTGTAGTCCTTAAGTGTTTATTTTATTGACTTTTTCTGTTCAAGAACTATAAAATATGGTTCGCCAGTGCCAAATTTGCAAGAAATTTGACTTAAATAATCCATTTAAATCTTGACTAATCCATTTAAATCTAAACGACTTTCGACCGGTAGGCAACTCTCAGTTTACTCATTGGAAGTCAGTGGCGTTTTTGTAGAAAGGCGCTTATTTAGATAATATTTTAGTAAAATATAAAATCTAAATTTTTTCTCTTACATTACATTATTTACTTACTTACATTGTAACAAAATCATAATTATAACCCTGTTAATAATTAATAATATTTTTATTAAAAATATATTCCGGTTTATTCTAAAATTATCTTCAGAATCTAAAATAACATACAAGAATTTTAAAATGATATTACATTATGAAACAATATTTTTTAATATACCGGGTCGTTTCAAAAGTGGCTCACCCCTATAACTTTTTTATTTTTTCAGATAAAAAAACAGATTTGTATGTTAGTAGGTATATGACATAAATTAGGATTTATTGACGTATTCAATTGTTTTTGGTCTCTTCCTGTTTCACAGAAATGATTACATCTTTTGATTTTTAAAGGCACCCTCGGTATATTGCTACTTTATTCGATAAAAAATGACACTCTGAATAGAATGACATATCATATGTCAACTTTTGACATTGTCGCTTAAAAACAAATTGTATTTTAAATTTCAATCCAGGGTGCCATGGTGTTGTTAAAAACACTAAGTTTTAATCAAGGAGCCTTGGAAAAATAGTTATGATCGTCTAATAGGTTTCGTGTCTTGTCTAGGCCGGTTAAAAGATATACAAATCGTATTTTTAATCATACATATGTCAATTTTTTCAAATGCAACAAGGGTGACTCATTAGCATATTTGGAAAAAGCATTTTCTTATGAATATATTGATACCACACACTTGTGTTACAATTACAATTAAACCATATGCGAAAACGTCAAAAGTTGACATATGATATGTCATTCTATTCAGAGTGTCATTTTCTATCGAATAAAGTAGAAATATACCGAGGGTGCCGTTTAAAAATTAAAAGTTATAGTCATTTCCGGTGAAACAGGAAGTGACCAAAAACAATTGAATGCGTCAATCAATCCTAATTTATGTCATATACTAACATACTAAATCTTGATTTTTTATTTGAAAATATAAAAAAAATAAGGGGGATGAGCCACTTTTGGGACGCACCCGGTATAATGAAGACAGTACCAAGTTAAATAAATGTAGTTTTTATTTTATCTACTTCCTATCACCTTCCTTGCTTTAATGGAACAGATTTATGTTTTCTCTAATTTACATAAGACATCACTTAACCAGAAAAAAAATTACAACAATCATTTTTTTTCTCTCCCTGTCGCCGATTCTATTATATCTGTGGAATAGATCCTGTTTTGATTAATATTAGGGGTTGTAAATATTTGACTAAAATTAATAATTTATTATATTAATTTCAAAAATTACGTAATTTCGATTATAAAATTTCTTCTATAACGTGTATTTTATTATTTTTATCCTTTTTGGACTCTAAGACGTTTTTTCTAAACTTTTATTTAAAAAACCTGTCCTAAATCTTAATAAAATATAAAAACGTTTAAATACGATATATCTTTAATTTAATTACAGCTTCATTAAAATAAAAAAATTACCCGGCTATGATACGGAGAGTTCAGGTGTACTTGAGAAACGAAAGACAGTGTTGTGTTTCTCGGTAGAGTCGTCAGGGAACGACCGTTACGACAGAGACAACCTATCTATCGCTCGTGTCGCACTCGTTATAACCTAAAACAATAACACAACAATAACAAGACATTGTTTGACCGCATGTTCTAGCTATTTATGAATGAGATGCTCAGTCTATGTTTTATTTTAAGTCTATGGGAATATCCATTTAGTTTTTGCCATATAAGCGTCTACAAAGTACAGTCAGAGTTCAATTCGATTTTGTATATTGACTTACAAATTGGAAGAGAACGAATTACAATTTATTAACAAGTCACATATTTTTGTAATAAATTCTCTTACAAATTGTAATATCCTTTTAATGGAACTTTTGGTAACAATAATTACATTGTAATGAACAAAATGTAAATAATAACTTTATATTTTTTTTTATTTTATCAATAACAATTTTGCAAGCTTGAGGTAACTTTTTTGTTGCTGTCCCTATAGTTACCTTTGTTTGTAAGGTCTAGTTATATTTTTTTAGAACTGCCTCTTACAATTTTTTTCCGTGTAATGTCTTTTGGCATCATGGAGCTATCCCGTGGTGATCTATCATGTCTTATTATTAGCTAGTGGTAATGTTCATATTAAACTGATACAAAAAAGTATTATTCGCGTTCATGAAATCAATACGTAGTTCATATTGTTCGATATGTTTTATTTAATAACTTATTTCTTTCATTCTGTATAATCTGCTTATTATGAAAGTTGAAGATTTTTCAACGATATCATTGGCAAACCGGCATCGCCGCACATGGCCGCCTTTTCATCGAACATGATTGGCGAGAGTACGTCACAGGATTTGTTACCACGCGGTTGCAATGGCTTTTACGCCTTTCCTATTCGCTTGCTTTATCCCCAACTTCACGGTCTCTTCTGAAAAGAGTAGGAATATTGAATACTATTGAAATATCCAGTGGCGGTGTCATTCTCTTGATCATTATTACTTTATTTCATTATTTTATACCGGTTATCCTAAACTTTATTCCTATATTTTTCGTATATTTGATAGTTGTGTTTTATTGTTTTGTTATCTTGTTATAATGTTTTTCGTTCGTAGTTTTTAATTATTAATATCAAGTTTGATCGTATATTTGTATTTTAAAATGAATAAATTTGTTAAGGGTAAGACGCTACATAGTCAGACAAGAGAAATAATAGCTAATTTATATAGGTAAGTAGAATAATAATAATATAATTAGAATATTAAAATTAAATATTGGCTAAAATAAAAAGCACACATTTTACCTAAATATTTTAGCTAACTAAAATAAATATAAATAAACGTGGATGAAATCTCATTTGGTTTATTTCCTTGTGTTCATAATAGGGTTTGCGACGAAGAAGCTACAGAGAGTTCGCTTAAGTTGCCGCTTAAACGAAAACTTGAGCGGATATTTCTTTATACCGGAGTTAGCGTATCGGCTATAAAAAAAATTCACACAGAAGATAAAAAAAGGCTGGAAACTAACCCCGATAAAATGATATCCAGCCCTGGAAAGAAACGACCACGTGAGACTGCTGTTGAAACGCTCGACGACTTTTTCCAAGTGGTCAGGAATTTGATAAATAGATTTTATCTCGAATTCAAACTCGTCCCCACAATTAGAAAGCTTTTGCAAAAATTGCAGGAAGAATCGAATTTTCCTTTGGCAGGGAAACGCTAAGGGGGTTATTAAAATCAAATGAATTTTTTTGGCGTAAATGTCAAAATAACAGATAAATATTAATGGAGCGGCCCATTAAATTGCAGAGAGAGATATAAATATATACGCGAAATTCGAATATATAGACAAGTATTATCTATTTGGATGAAACCTTTGAATAAGAAGACTAAGGAAGGAGCATAATGCTATCCATGTATTCATGCATCGTGGGCGGAAAAGCCACCATAAAAGCTCTCTAGGGTGGGGATCCTTGACAGTTCTCTTTGACGATTTATTTGACACATTTGAATTTGATTTGAAATTTTGTGGATTTGTCAGTCTTTACGAAGCTTATTTTATGTTATTTATTATTTATTCTACTACTGATAGTTGTATAAAGGTAGTAAATCTAGATGGAAATTGTGGCAGAACTTAAATTAACAGTGACACTATCGCGACTTATCGAAAAAGACTCTAAAATAGTTGGTTGTGTAGCGTGCGGTAGATCTCGGCAAAAATTGAGTGAAATAATGGAACAACTTTTCGCTAGTAAGTGACTATATAATATACATACGTGTAGTAAACCGATCATTTATGAAATTCACTTAAATTAACTAAATTATATATTTTTCTTGCATTTTAGCTTTTATTTATTACTTGTCAAAGATTAGATGTCAAAGAATTTAGATACGTTAATTTGACTTACCTGCTTCAGTACCGTATCGGATGTTTGTGTTAATAAATACTTATTATATCTTATCTATTTTTATTAGAATTATATATTTTTATAACAATTTTAATAACAACCAACATTTATTCACAACGTAAAATAAAACAACAAATTATTGAGTCTACCCCACGTCTACCCTACATCATAGTTTTACATTTTTTAAATAAAATTAGAACGACACTGATAAACCGGAATTTAAGTCGGCCATATTTGAGGCCCATCGCGGTGTACCTAAGATTTTTGATATGCTCCTTCCTTAGTCTTCTTATTCAAAGGGATGAAACATATGGGTAGACAATGACCTAACCTTTAAAAAGTGCTGGCGGAGCGATACCATATCTGGTGCAATAGGCAATATTGGATCTACTGGTGAGTAAAATTATGTTTTGTTTGCGCTTCCAAAGTTAACTATTTTCAAGATTTTTTTTTGGCTGGAAATAATTATATCTAAAATTATGTATTATAGAAAAAAATTAAATAGTTAGTACAGATATATAAATAAATACACCTCAAGACTCAGTCTTGATCATCTGCTGATGGCAGACATGGTTAGCGAAACGTAAAATTAAAAGTGTTTTGGTGTATTGTACTGATTTAGTGTTTTATTTTGCTGTGTAAGACCAAAGGTTCCAACCCCAATATTTCTTCTATTATATTAACAACACATAATAATAAAATGATTCAAAATATTTACGGGAGCTTTAATAAAAGCTTTTAGTGTTTATTTGCTAACTCAACAGTAACGATTCAAACAGCATAAAGTTTTTTGAAAAAATTATTAATCTGAATATTATATTTATGATACACATTATTTTCATAAAACACCGTACGCCCATGCCTATTTTATGAATGAAATTGGGCGTGTTTTGTTTACAACTGCGTTCCCCTGCCGATACCTTGTAGCTATAGATCCGTTGGTCACACTATACATTTGTTTCTATTTCTCTATTTTTCACCGGTAGCCTGTCGTGATAAAGCGAGAAGTGGGAAACCGGTGTACTACGGACGTACCCTTACGTTCTAAGAGATACGTTTAATTTTGTCCTGATCCTAATAATCAAACTATTTATCCTTACTCTTCATTATGATCACCATGAAACTTCCATCCTCTGCCTTCGTAGATGGCACCGTCTCCACCGACCAGAAAATTGTATGCAATATCGCTCATGCTTCTGCTTTCAATATCATATGTTTGTAAGTATCTGAAAATTATAAACATATATGAACATATATGAAGAAATAAGGATTGATTTTTTAAATTTGTTTGGAACTAGTTAATTTTATGTAAAAGTTGTATTGGACTTTTTTGAAGCGGCGTTAAAGTTGTACTTTTTTCTAGAATTTCGTTTCATTTGGAGTAGGTAGTCATTTAAAAGGTATTTGCAAAAATCTACCTATTAGTAAAATTTATAATACGGCCCAGAGAAAGTTACAATTAAAATGCCAGCAAAAATGTGATCGTGCCATTGTCAAATTCGATGTCACATTTTGTTTATAAAAAATTGAAAGTACCAAATAGTCTCTGGAAAGCCTATAACGAATAAATCAACAGTTTAGAGAATAAACTAGGTTGTGAAGACAAAAATAATTGAACAGGAAGAAAAAAACAATAACTTGAATATTCTTCATGTTGAAGATGATTATTCCAATTTAGAAAAAAATAACCATTCTTTCCAAATCACTTAAATTCTTTCAAACAAAAAAAAAACGTGACCATAGACAACTTTTAGATCGCCCACTCCCATGTTATTGTGGGTGCCGTATTTTAGTGGCATCTAGTGGGATAAGGAACGGTTCTTTGCACATTAAAGAAACCTGCATTACCGACATTAGAAAGCGCTTTTATTTGAATCGCTCTTCTTTCCAATTTTATAATCAGAGAGAGAGAGAGAGAGAGAGATTTCAACTATTAAGTTACAAGCTCTAGTTAAACCTAAGTTTTGTCTTTAAATTAACAGACAAAACTTAGGATTAACTAGAGCTAGTAGCTTGAATTAATTTCTATTGAGAATAATTAGGAAATCAACACAAATATTTACATTAAAAAACATTTATTTAATTATTAGACTTAAATATACATTAAACTATAATGTTCATTTCGAAATCTTAAAAAAAATATTTAATACTGCATGTAAAAAATAGGTAGAAGTTTTAGTTTTATCCGGAATAATATCTAGTGATAAAATTTTGCATAGTTTAGTATTAGGTCTAAAGCTTTATTTACGTTTTTGTCAAGTTGAATTCAAATCAAAAGAATCAAAAATGTGAAATATCAGCGTACATAACCATGTTAGAGTGGTAAATCAGCTGCCTATATTAAAAATAACAGAGGCCTCAAGATGGAATTCTGAGGACCTGAACCAGATATAAATTTGGGAGAGTACGTCTCATCCAGCAACCCTCGCTTCTAAAAACTATATAAACTATTAACATATTAGATAGGCGCTTTCATAACTAAATCTACCTGGCAAATTTACTGTCGGAAGTGTTTTATATTTTAACTAGCGTGTACCAGCGAATTCGTTCGGGTCGAATTAATCATTTGTAATGGTGATGATAAAGCAAAGCAAGAATTTCCATTAACATACAAACTGGATAAAATGTTCTCACATTTATGTCAGCATGAGAAAAAACAATATGCCGATATTATTATATAACTTGGTAATATTTGAAGGGTAGTTTCATCTCGTTGGAATTCGAATTTCGAAAAATCCGTTTGCCAAAAATAAGCTTTTTACGTCAAGCAGTTTAAGCAGAATCGTAGTTAAGAAATTACCCAACTTTTTGAACACCCTGTATGATTTTTTTAAAAATTTAAAATATGTAAAAAAACAAATAAATTATGCTTGTCCAAGCGTTTTCCCGAAAGACTAACCGTTTTTTAAATAACAATTTTAGTAATTTTTGAGGGGCGTTTTCACCCTCTTGGAACTTGAGATTCGAGGAACCCCTCCTTATCGAACCTCTACATCCACAGTCAATCCGTTTGCCAAAAATCAGCTTTATACGTCAAGCTGTTTAAGCAAAATCGTGATTACTCAATGGTCATATTTTATGAAACACCCTGTATAAATTTATAAAAAATCTTAAAATATGTAAAACAACAAAATAAAATATACGTGTTTAAGAGTTTTTCAGAAAAACTCACCGGTTTTTAAATAAAAAATATTTTAATATTTGAGGGATAGTTTTACCCCCTTAGAATTCGAGTTTCAAAAAATACCTTCTTATCGAACCTCTACACCCTAAAGTCAATCTGTTTTTCCAAAAATCAGCTTTTTACGTCAAGCGCTTTTAGCAGGATCGTGATTAATCAATGACCAGATTTTTCGAAACTACCTGTATAAATTTTTAAAAAATCTTAAAATATGTAAAAAAACAAAATAAAATATACGTGTTTAAGCGTTTTTTTCGGAAACTTGACCGTTTTTTAAATAAAAAAATATTGTAATATTTGAGGGGTGGTTTCATCCTCTTGGAACTGGAATTTCGAAAAATCCCTTCTTATCGAACCTCTATACCCTAGAATCAACCTGTATACCAAAATTGAGCTTCTTACGTTGAGTGGTTTGAGCAGGATCGTGATTAATCAGTATGTCAGTCACTTAAGGATTTTATATATTAGTATAGATTGGCCATTAAAAGTATAATCTTCAGTTGTAAAATGTCGATAATCTTTAAAAAAATTCTCTAGTGGCATATTATTTTCTATAAATTTGTTTTAGCTGCGTATCACCGAAATAACAAACTGGGGCAAACAATTTTCCGGATTCGGAAAGCAATGATCTTTCGTTCCATTCTTTAAGCACTTGGAAACACCACAAAGCGACGGACTGGTGATGGTGAATTTTATTTCACGCAGAACAAAAATACAAAGGAAAACAGAACGGTGGCAAATCGTGGGTAATCGTCTTTAATAAACCGCACTAAAAATTATGAAACAAACTCTATTGTTTTTGATAAACACACTTCTGATTTAGAAACAGACACATCGAAAGGTAAAATTTACCTTTGATTACCTCTCTTACAAAATGGCAAACACGTGGCAAACTAAAAACTAAATCTTTGTTCTTATTGGGCGAGAATATTTGAAATAAAGTAGCGGCAATTTTTGGTGCGACCGGTGCGCCTCTAGCGGGATAAGGAACTATAAAAGTTGCCCCAGAGTCAAAGCCCCAGAGTGGAAAGGGAAGGAATGTGATATCGAATTTGACAATGACAAAATCATATTTTTGCTGGTATTTTAATTGGAGCTTTTTCTTGGCCGTGTTATAAATATTTAGTAATTTGAAAGTAGATTTTTGCAAATAGCTTTTAGATGCTTTTTCCAAATAAAATGAAATTCTAGAGAACGCCTCTTCAAAAAAGTCTAATACGATTTTTCATGAAATCATCCGGGGACATAATAGGTATTTTACCTTTTCAAATTTAGATGGGATTCTCTATATTCCGTGTTCCGATGCACCACACACGTCATATCCCCACCTCACTTTAATATAGTGATGCTGCAATTGACAAAACTTACTAAGTCTATTGAGTGTCTCTGCATTTACTTTTTTCTTTGATGTGTACGCCTAAATGCTTTTAAATTTACTTACCTAACTCTAAATACACATTGGGCATGGGATTTGCACGTGTCCGTCGCTGTTTGATATACAACAATATTCGGCACAGCTCTAGGGAGGCTAGGCAGTCTTTTGGATGGAGGTTGTGCTACCCATTCTTGTCTAGTTCTGATACGTACATTGGAATTAAGTTTTAAGCTTTTGGCCGTAATAGCTACAATATGAAATTGGGTATTGTTTTATTGTAGAATTTCATGCAACCCGATAAAATCTTAATTCCGATTTGACTTAATCCGAACACAACAATGTACGTGTGAGAGTAATGAGCGTAGATTTCGTACCTAAATAATATACAGGGTTATTCACCTCATTCGACACGGAGTATTGTATATTACAGTTGGGGGTTGAAACCTTTGGTGTTACACAGCAAAATAAAACACTAAATCACCACAATAAACCAACAATACACCAAAATACTTTTACTTTAATGCTGGACGCGCGTTTCGTTAACCATGTTAGCATCATCAGCAGATGATTAAAAATTGACATTGACACATTGAGTTTTTCACAAAATCGGTTTTCAGAAAATTTCAGAAAGGTAAGATTCAAGGGGGTGTATGGGGTTGTGCTGGAGAGGTAGTACTTTTCATCAAGGACGGTGGCACTCAGCGATCTGATCGTTGAGTGGTCGGCGATGACTAGTCCTCACAGGACACCCAGCTCTCACTTTATGGCTCCACGTGCCACATCCCGGTAAACCGCATCCACCTGCGGGCTAAACTAAGTGAGGGTAGCCAGATATGGCGAAATCGCAGCGTCTGACTCAGAATGAGCGGCTGCAAACAGCGTCTGACCCAGAATGGGCGGCTGAATCACATACTCACCAAGACGTCTTGCCAACGTGGTGTTTAATGGCTAAATACCCCCTATGAACATGCCAACTGTAAAAACAAGATTACCCCAGGCGAGTGGAAATAAAAATTCGGAATCTCGCATTGATGTTAAATCAGTCTGTCCCACGGATTCTGGGGGGGACAAACATTTGGCGAAGAGAAAGACAAACACTACGATGTATGTTGCCACATACAATGCACGATCGCTGTTGTCAGAAGAACGATTGACAGAACTTGAATATGAACTCGATCACATCAAGTGGGATGTGGTTGGCCTCTGCGAAATCAGAAGGCGTGGCGAACACTTAGTTAACTTGAAATCCGGACACAGCTTCTACTTCGTGGGAGACGAGAATAGCTCTTTTGGTGGAACCGGCTTTCTAATACACAAACGACATAGGCAAAACATCGTGTCTCTCAAGAAAATCTCAAACAGGGTTGTATATCTGGTTCTCAGGCTCAACACCAGATATGAAATCAAGATCATTCAGGTCTACGCACCGACGACCGATCATCCCGATGAAGAGGTGGATATATTCTATGACGATGTGGATTTTGCTCTTAAAGACGAACGAACACACTTTACTATTTTGTGCGGAGACTTTAATGCCAAAATGGGAACAAAGTCCGATCCTACGGAGATTTCACTGGGGGGTTTCGGTCTGGGGGACAGAAACGAGCGTGGGGAAACACTGCTCGGTTTCTTACTGCAAAACAACTTGTTTCAAATGAATAGTTTCTTTCAAAAAAGGTCTGCTAGAAAATGGACATGGAAAAGCCCGGACGGGCGAACTAAGAATCAAATAGACTTCATCATTACCGATAAAAGGCATATAGTTAAAGACCTGACGGTGTTGAATAAACTAACCACAGGAAGCGACCATCGACTAGTGCGAGCCAGAATTGAACTTAACACAGGAAAAGAACGCCTTAAAATGATTAAAAAGGCTGGTAGTAGATCATGGACAAAGCCGGCAGATTTAGAAAGTTTCCAGCGCTGTATCACAGAACAGCTACAGGATTACACGCAGGAGAACAGTATTGACGGTTTAAACGAAAACATCACAAATGCGTTGTTAGAGAGTCAAAACAGGTACTGCCCCAAGATACAAAGAGAAGAAAAACTCAGTAAATTTACCAAGAGACTTATGGATAAAAGACGGGCCATGAGAAGTGAACAGCTGACTACTTTCGACGAATTAAGAGATATAAACAAACAGATATCAAAGGCCATTAGGCGCGACCTCAGAACATTTAATCAAAACGAGATTCGACGGACAATAGAAAATAACAAAAGCATGAAAGTGCTACGAAAGAGTCTTCAAAGCGGAACAGCTGGAATAACAAAAATCAGAGACCATCAGGGATATATCACGACCAACAGGGAGGAGATCTTAAAGATAGTTGAGGACTTTTATAGACTGCTGTACCGAAGTCGGGGGGAAGGGACACAGGATTCAGAAGTCGAACCAGAGATATTGACATGGACAAAGGGCATCGTAAATCAAGGGTCAGAAACACTACCAGATATCACACTTGAAGAAATGGAACTAGCCTTAAGGAACACCAAGAATAATAAATCTCCCGGCGAGGATTGTGTGGTCGCAGATGCAATTAAGATTGGTGGTGAATGTTTGCTTCAGAAGATTGTGGATCTTTTCAACCTTTGCCTTTTTGATGGTACTCTGCCTGGGAAGTGGTACAATGCTGTAGTAATACTACTTCACAAAAAGGGGGACATAGCAGATCTAGAAAACTATAGACCGATAAGTCTGCTTAGCCACCTTTATAAACTGTTTACGAGGATAATAACAACACGACTCGAGAAGAAATTGGATTTTTACCAACCGATAGAGCAAGCGGGTTTCCGTGCAGGGTTCGGAACCAATGACCATCTCCAGAGTATTAAAATTATAATAGAAAAATCCATTGAATACAACAGGCCGCTTGTACTTGCTTTTGTCGATTTCCAGAAAGCTTTCGATACAGTAGAAATGGATGCAGTGATAAGGTCCTTGCAAGAATGTCGGGTGGACTATAGATACACAAGGCTTATTTACAATATCTATAAAAACGCCTCGATGACGGTAAAACTACACGAGAACACTAAAACCATACCGATAGGCAGGGGCGTTCGTCAAGGAGATACTATATCACCGAAATTATTTACCGCCGTTTTGGAGAGTGCCTTTAAAAAACTCGACTGGGAGGGGAAGGGACTGATGATTGATGGCAAGAACCTCACAAATTTGCGTTTTGCTGATGACATTGTTTTATTATCCGACAACCTAAGGGATACTGAAGTGATGCTCCGAGAATTGCGGGAGGTGTGTATCGGGGTTGGTCTGAAGATCAACTTCTCAAAAACCAAATTCATGACCAACCTGGTTCCCAGTGGAAATATTGTTGTGGGTGACAGTGAGGTGGAGCTTGTGGATAGGTATAACTACCTGGGACACGAGATACAGATCACAAGAGACAATCAGACATGCGAACTGAAGAGACGTATAACCCTGTCTTGGGCCGCCTATGGAAAGTTAAAAGATGTGTTTAAGGGCGACCAGCCAATCTGCCTAAAACGAAAGGTTTTCAACCAATGTGTACTACCGGTTATGACGTATGGAGCTGAGACCTTGACACTGACCATCGCATCTGCTAAGAGGCTCAGAGTGGCACAGCGACGAATGGAAAGATCAATGCTTGGAGTGTCTTTGCGGGATCATATAAGCAACGAGGATATACGTGCGAGAACAGGCGTCATCGACGTTGTGTCACGAATCGCTACACTCAAGTGGAAGTGGGCTGGACATGTGGCTCGAGTGACCGATGGTAGGTGGACCAAAACACTGCTCGAATGGAGACCGAGAGCTGACAAAAGAAACCAGGGAAGACCACCAACACGATGGACTGACGACATAAAAAGGATCACCAATAACTGGATCCAGAGCGCACAAAATAGGCAACAGTGGGCGCAAATGGGGGAGGCCTATGTCCAGCAGTGGACGCAAAGGGCTGGCTGATGATGGCTGATGATGAAGATTCAATGCGGTAAACTCAATTAAATTTATATTTATTTTAATCGTAGAAACTAAAAATATAATAATATGCAGAGTGTTCCATTTAAAAAATACAACTTTAGTAGTCCTCTAGACACGGAATATTGTAGCTTGGCTACAATATTCCGTGTCGAATGTGGCGAATAACTCTGTATAGGTAACAACACAGACTAACCTATAATAACAATATTCAACCTTGCCATTCTAAAAGTTTATTATTTTATTTTTAGTACAGATGGAATATTGAAAAAAAAATTGTTTTAAAAAAATAATAATTCGATTATTGCAATAAAATCGCAGAAATAAATTAGCCATAGTACTTAACGATAGCGTGTCATATTACCGGGATCATAAGGTAGAGGTTTGGAATTCCTTATCCGCTTTACCTGAAGTAGTTTGCAGTAACAATGTTACCGCCACACCAACAAGGAGTTTTACCATAACTGCTGTAAAAACCGATATATACTTAAACTATATCTCTTAGGCCTTTACTTTAATCTGTTTGGTTCGGTTTGGAACCACAAAGGAATACCTAAAAAAAACCAGCTTGTTTCTTTCAGATTTCCAAAAAGTTTCTAGAAAATTTATTAATTCGACATTATTTTTCCTATTCACAGCCGATGGCTAACGAGTTTTTAGGGCTCTATTTTAGCCTCTTCGCTAATGATTAGCGAGAAAGATCTTGGTATTGTTCTTCCGCAACACAAAGAACAAGACTAGCATTAGATTTGCAAGATCAAGACCCAGACAGGCCCAGTAGACTTATGCAAGATTAATACCAAGACCAGGCATGCAAGATTTTTGCGGTCTTGTGGGCTTGCATTATTTTAGGTTTACTTATATGATATAAAAATTACTCATTTGTTCAAAATTATTGCTTTGACGTATTTTTTAATTAAGTTGTGTTTTCCGATTGTTACATAAAATCTTAGAGGAAGAAATACTGATCCCATTCATGCTAAAAATTCGATTGTGGTGTCGTTTGACAACTATATTTTTAACATGAAATTACATATTATCTTGGTCCAGAGCCAGTACTGGGAATACCCAAATGTATGGCCCGTAGTGCACTAAAACTCTGGATCAGGGAAAAGCACAATGTCCATTGGAAAAACAGATAGGGGCACAGGCACAGCGAGACTTTTATCCAAGGACCTAGCTCTAAAACCGCAAAAGAACTGCTAATGCTTAGCAGGAATAAAGTACGGATTAAAACAGGCCTCTTGACAGGACACATTGCTGTCAAGTGTTACCTGAACAAGCTCAACCTGTATCAAGAAAGTCTTTGCTGTAGACTCTGCGATAAAGATCCGGAAACAGCGGAGCACATAATTTGTCATTGCGAGGCTCTGGATCGCAAGCGACACTTTTTATTTGGGAAAGCCAGGCTAGAACGGACAAGGACCTGCATAAGGTAGTGCAGGGCACAGGGATAGGAGAATGGGTGCAGATATAGAAGGGGGACATACACAATAATAGGCCTCACAGGTCGCAGTGTTTCCGGCAGAGGACGGCCCCTTGTTATGAAAAAAATACATCAAATGTTGTTACGGTGCACAGCATGTGTATAGTTTTTGTGCTGGATATATACCATGATAGTATAAGACACATGGTTACTTTTGGAGCAGTTGCTTGGTATACAAATCCAGAGTAACCTACAGCAAGGCAAAACCTGTGCAAAATGCTGAAGCTGGCATGCATCACAGCCATAAGGACCCATAAGAATATACCCAACAGCAATGGAGGTCATCCGCAGAAGATGCACTCAGAACAGAAATCAGCAACGACAACGACGGGGATGAGTTTCCTATTGCTGAAGTTATGAGAAAAGAAGAAAATGAACCCTTGGTGGTTAATCTGCAGAAGGCATTAGAACAATGTTTGAAGCTCATGTCCATACAAATTGGAACAAAATAAATGATAAGATGCGATTGTCCGATATCATTCATTCTCAAGAAATCGGATCATACTCAAATGGTGGTATTCGTTCCTTCGATTTTTTGTTAACCATTCAGGCTACAAGGGTGGAATCTAAGAGATGTTTCTGTTTGGCAAGGTTTTTATATAATAAAATAGGTTCGAGCCTGGGAGAAAAAAAATTGGACGCATTTGTTTTTATAAAAACTTATAGACCTAAAACTGATTTTTTACTATCTACTTTGCTGAGAAGACTTTTTCGTTTAAGAACTTTTTTTGTTAATTTTCGTGTTTTAAGATAGATATTAAAAAAGTAATATTATTTGATTTTTTTGGGGACATCAAATCCCGGGACTCTGCGATTAGTATTATCCGTTAGAGATCTTGAAAATCCCGAGTTAATGAAAACTTTTCGAGATTGATGTCCCTAATTGTGTATAACAATGAAGAAATATAATACTATCAAAACAAACTTACCTGAAGTGAAGTGCTATTGTTTTTTTATGCATTCAATTCTTTATTGTTGTTTAATATTTGTTGCAAATTAATAAATTAAGTTAAAAACTAGCAGCTGGAGTAACAAAATCTTTGATTAAATGTACTAAAAATGAAAACAAGTTTAACAATAAGCAAACGACGTAATACTTTAATCGCATTTTGTTTTGCCAGAAGTTGATAGCCTTTTGTTTGTGCATTTTTATTGTCGATCTGATTTGAAGGTAAGTATAAAATTAATTTTTTGCTGTAACATGTCGTGCTTTAATTTTTGTTTACAATATTGTGTCATTAGTGACAAAAAAACCCATCTACATTCCGAGTTTCAGCCCCCTACCTCACATGCATATATACAGGGTGGCCCATCGAAAACGCATAACAGGCATAACGGCCAGGGTAATTTTTTTTCAGAAAATCTAAAAACACGTCAATTTTGTTTGTGAGGGGACAACTTTTGCCCCAAAAATGATTGCAAAATATTCAACCCTCTAAGCGGGGGTGTCATCCCCCAACTTTTTTCAAATGGGAAGGGGGGTCAAGTGGCGCCGCAATGAAAAGAGCTTTTTATTCTCTATATTTTCCCGCTTCGTTTTTGAAAATCGGTAGAGTCATTGAGAAAATATGAAGGATTGAAATTTGAAAAGTTTATTTAAACATATATCAGAGTAAATGATAAGGATAAATTCCTTCGACCAATTTGCTGTTTTTTTCTTGTTATTTCTAGATTTTTACGCATGTTTTCACTTGCCACAAGGTTGGACGATCAGGTGCGGTAGTTGCTAGATAGCTGTTTTGTGATTTGTGCGTTGAAGTTCTTCTCAATATCGTTAAACTTTTTAACAATTATGATGCACTCACTTGCAGAAAAAGTGGAAATAATCGAACTTTATTTTAAAAATAATGAATGTGGCAATCGGGTTGCGCAGATATTCAATGAACGCCATCCTGACAAACACCTTTATGGCAAAATTGTTCGCGAGTTAGTAGCAAAATTTCGTGAAACTGGTTCCGTTATGAATAAAAAGAGGCAGAGGGAAAATCCTGTAGTAAATGAAGCTGTGGAGGTATTCGTATTGGACCAAGTTGCCATGGATAGTACGCTGAGTACAAGAAAATTAGCCAATGAGACCGGGGTGAATCGTACAAGTGTCCAAAGGATATTAAAAAAACACACAAGTTCCACCCGTACAAAATTCAGTTGATACAAGAACTCAACGAAGACGATTTTGATCGTCGCGGGCTGGTATTTTTGGAAATTCTATTGTGGGTCAGTTTAACGATATTGAGGTCGCACCTGATCGTTCAACCTTGTGGCAAGTGAAAAAATGCGTAAACATCTAGAAATAATAACGAAAAACAGCAAATTGGTCGAAGGAATTTATCCTTATCATTTATTCTGATAAATGTTTAAATAAACTTTTTAAATTTCAATCCTTCCTATTTTCTCAATGACTCGACCGATTTTCAAAAACGAGGCTGTGAAATATAGAGAATAGAAAGCTCTTTTCATTGCGGCGCCATTTGACCCCCTTCCCATTTGAAAAAAGTTGGGGTATGACACCCCCGCTTAGAGGGTTGAAGATTTTGCAATCATTTTTGGGGCAAAAGTTGTCCCCCTCACAAACAAAATTGACGTGTTTTTGGATTTTTTGAAAAAAGAAATACCCTGGCCGTTATGCCTTGCGGAACGTTTTCGATGGGCCACCCTGTATATACCTCACAGGTTAACCTCACACCTAACCTCTCGCATCTCGTTTGTCATGCCTTCAATTTTTACTCTTATCATGCGTTTCACTTCAAAAATTACTAAATAAAAATGGAAATGAAAATGGACAAATTTTGTTCAACTTTTAAGAAATTAAGCATGTATTTGTTCATGGCTAGTGCCTGATAAAGTATGTGATATTTAGGGCTGTGCTTAATAAAATTTACCATTGAATATATAATTTACCATAGAAATATATTTTAGGGCACCATTTTTTGAATGAAATACTTTTTATTGTCATACTTTACTAATTTTGTTGTCTGTAATTGGTATGTACTCTTAGTTGTTCACATTATGTTTTTATCTATTTTTTTATTTTACACTTTTTAGCCTAGTCTAAATTAATTTTAGTTAGACGATTTTCTATAATAAAAATTTGTAGCGTTTTTTAAACAACCACCACTGCGAACGGCAGCTTTTCATCGGAGAGCAGTCCTGGATAAGGTATTTCACTGGAAAGAAAACGAATTAATAACAATAAACACAAAAATAGATATTGGGCGCCAGGCATGTACAGAGAAAGAAAACACAGTTGTATATTACTTAAAACCAATGACTATATTCATTCATGATGTTCGTTGCTGATACATGACATTGTAGAGTTCTAGTGAATATGTAGTGGTTATATGTCAAAGAAAGTGGTGGTAAGAGTTGTACTAAATATCTATGAAAACGACTATGATAAAATACAAGAAATGTAAAGTTTAAGAGAATGTATGAAATGTAGCATTACTTTATTAATTTGATATATTTTATATGATATTAGAGTGCAATAATAATATCTATAAAAAAGTAATACTATTACAAGACATAATGCAATGAAACCTAAGATCTAAATTATATTTTAACTACTAAATCGACATGAATGTTCTTAACAATCTAACCACTCAACATAGTCTATACGATATTATTTAAGATGTATATTATTGTTTAAGACTGTAAATGTTTTAAATGTTAAATGCAAAACTATAACTTAAATCTACACTTAGCTGTTCTTTATGCAATCCTGCTTAAAACAGTAACATCGTGAGGTGGTCTCGCATTTCTCTGTACTCAGCCATCCAACACAACCAAAGGGGCCAGAATGAGGACACCATGACTTGATACACCCTTAACTAACTAGCTTATAGCTGGGAACGAAGCAGCATGAGACTCAAGCTACATCCACGCTGTGGCACTTATATGTAGAAAAAAAATCGTTCTTACTGGGGACACTCGTCCACAGGACATCCGTACATAAGATACTACCCGTACCTTGGAAATAGTCCGTACCTTGGACACAATCCGTTATCTTGGACACAGTCCGTATCTTGGACACAGTCCGTATCTTGGAAATAGTCCGTACCTTGGACCCTAAAAATATGAAACTCTTGTTTAAAACCAAACAAGGTCTAATAAACAAAATAAACCTACCTCGAAATACTTCCGAGGGCTCAATAAATAATAAACAACATGTCCTTTCTTCCATGTGACATTCTGGAGGACAAAAGAAAAGGGACGCCAACGTGCCAAACACAAATACAAGTTGGGAAATCCGTAACTCTACCCTAAAAATATTCAATAATAATATCGAATCTAAAAGGATAATATCTCATCTTTACCTGTTGCTTTGAAATAGCAGCTGATTCAGATTATACAGCAAGATTTAAATAATCACCATTTCTAAAAGCTGGGATAAAACAGAGCGTCAAAACAAAGTGAGGTTAAGCACGGAGAGTTGACAGAAGCGATGTTGACAGCGCGCGCCTTCACAGAAGAGTAACAGGGTTGTGTCGAACGATCACAGGGTTGGCGACTAGGGAACGTAAAAATTACGCGTCAAATAAACTATCCGGTCTGAACGAGTGGGAATCCGGTGATGATAGGCCAGACATCATATATTATATATAAAAAAGACATGTAACGAACTAAAAACGTTACAAATTAAATAAAGTAATACTTATTTTATATTTCAGTACTACTCTACTCTGTGATGATATTAAAATATTGCTTATATGACAAATATATATTTATTATACAAGTAACAAAGAGTTATTACACACAGATATAAAATATAGATATACAATATCTATTGAACATGAATACAAGGTATATTTTTAATATTAGTTTTATTAAAAGTTTTGTTGATTATGTTGAATTCGGTATACAAATATAAAGTTTCTTGTCTCATCATTAAGGGACTTACTACGTATTTCATCATACCTTATACAATGAAAATTAATATATACATAATATACAAATAATCACTTATTTTAAATTCATATAAAATGGACTTGAATATAACACAAGGTTAATTATATTGAGAGTCTTATATCTAAATACAAATCTGAGATTTTCAAAGTATCGACATATTTATTGTAAAATTTATAAGTTACAATTACACAGTTTAGAAATTTAAAATTTTATTTATGTATTTTGTAGTAATTTTTATCAGATAAGTTCTCCAATAATAATATTTTTCTTATATTTTATTGTCATAAGTTCTAAAAAATGACACAACTTCGTATAGAGGAGCTATAAACTGTGGGATTTATATAAAGTCCAATTTACAATTTTACATTTTTTTTTAATTAATTAATTATTTAAATAAAATAATTTATTAATTTTGATTAATAAAATTGCGTTGATGTCATCGACGAGATCAAAATAGACAAAATATCAAGATACAACTCTTAATTGGCATTAAATGGTTAAATAATAACCCATATGCACGTCCCTGGTGACTCTATTGACACTTTTTTTAGCATTAAAATATGTAGTATTAATATGCATAGTAAGCTGAAAATTTCATTGGAATCGCTAAAAGCACTTGGAAGAAAATTATAATAAATATAAAAAAGAAGACTTTTAACCTCCTGTAGCGACGAAACAAAGCAGAATAGGACCCATGTTGATAGGAAAAATAAATCTTAGTTTTTTTGATAAGGTAGGTATATAATTTAAGTTTTGAGTCGAGACTAATAATATTAATGCTTATTTATATGAAATGTACAGGGCGAATCAACAATAAAGTTGATAATGTCATTTATTTTGAGAATTACGGAAAAAAAGTTAAATAGAATAGTTTTAGTAAACGTGAATGTTAGATAAGGTACATTAAAATACATAAAATTTAAAATTATTTTTGAGTAATACTAAGCGCTTCAAAAAAGTGTTATTACAACACCTTCAGAGCGAAAGCTAAGTACCTACTCACTAATATGTTGTTTTTGAAATTTAAAGTAATTTTGTTATTAATATAAATGTACATAGTTTTTATTAAGTTTTGTTGTATTAATAATAAATATTTTACTGAAAAATTAAGTAAAAAGGACACACCCTGTAAATTAAAGAAACCGTTTTTTTTTAAATA